CATTTACTATGTACAATTTTGAAGTGACGCCATCGGATTAGTGGTGGGGATGATTAGTCAAATTTTGGTTAGCGTTTTACCATCTACATGATATTCTTAATATAAGTACAAAATTTCACAACAATCGATCGAGTACTTTCGGAGATTATCTGTCTAATAAAAATCCGGGACGGCAGACGGACAGACGGACGGACAGACGGACAGACAGACGGAAATGGGAGACCTATTTCTTCGTCTTCTAGGGGTCATGAAAGATCGAGAAAACGTAAAAGTAGAGAGTCGGCCGACGGACTCGATTACAATACTTCCTTTGCTTACGCTCGGGAAGTAAAAAGATTTGGTGTGAAGTAAAACTTGTGCAGACAAAAAATTACGTGAGTTAGAAACTGCAGAGCATGCAAATCTACGTTCAATTTAAATTATACAGCAAAGAAAATTACTGAAGTTAAAAATTGTGAGATAGAGAAAAGTTGTATAAGGTGAAAAATTGCAAAACTAACAAAATTACATGAGTTTAATATTTTATGTCCATTCGAGTTATCGGTTAACTTTTAAAAGTGAAGTTGTTCAGCTGCATTATGGGCCATCGTTTTACATTCCCCAAACAAACACAAAAAAAAAACATAGCAGGCAATATGGAGGTTCAAAATAGCATCGAACGAGTGCGTCGTTGAAAAAAATGCGTCAAAAATGATCAATCCTGTGGCGCTGTGCAAATAATGGCTTAAATCAGAGGAAATAGAAACCACATGAGCCACAATGTTGTTAATTTGTTGAACGAGATTTTACAGTTCAAACATATGCTCGATTTGAAAACACTCTTTTAAAATGGCCGCTGCCAGAACAAAGAATTTACCTGATGTTAAATTATGCCACACTTTATCCAAGTGATTGGTTACTTAAAACAAATAGCTTTGAGAGCTTAACCCAAACAGAGACATGTTAAATAAACACAAAATGCAACAGGCGTTGCGAGAAAAGCTCCTCGGTGATGTATAAATGATATGATGATAATAACTACTTAAGGGGAGAAATTTTTAATCCCCCCGTATCTCACTCCACGATATTATGAATTCTACCGCACTTTCACGGTCCTTTTCCCATAATGGGACAACGTTAACTTAATTTAACTGCCGTAAATGAACTATTAGCAATCTTATGTTAGGAATTAAGAAGTGTTATAATGTAACATTTGAGTATAAACATCCAGAAATCTTATTCATAATTTGGTCAACAAAGGGTGAATCCTGACTAAGTGAATTTCATGAAAACTCCTGCAAGTGCTCTATCTCAACAAATCTAATGTCTGTTAAATTGTGTTAGAACCAGTTAACGATTAAAATTCTAACATGAACTGTGAATTTACAAACAATAAAACAAATTTACACCACATGCTCGCGTCGGTCGAAAATCCGCATATTTCCTCTTGGAAAACACCGCAAGAATTATAGCTACACGTGCTGGCGTCGTTGTTACGATTAATTGTCGTTAAACAAAGGCTTCCCCCTTTTTTATTAACTACCAAACCAACTAAACTTAAGCTTACTCACCACGTGGTTTGATACACAACAAACAAACCAAAAATGAAATCTCTCACCCCTCTATCCACCAAATCAACTTCTACCAACCCACTCAACAGAAATTCCCTAGGAGAGCTACCCACTACCCAAAAAAAAACTAAACGTCCACATGGTAGCCTATGTTTAACGATTTTCGTGTTTGGATTTTTTTTTCAAATTCAAATTATTCAAATGCAATTTCGCGCCGCTGTTAATTTTTTTAGCGGGAAATTTTAATTCAAATTAGGTCACCACAGCAGGTATCATATTTCACACCTCCGCACTCAAGTTAGTGAAAAAAATGTTTTGTTTTGCAATTTCTAAGTTAAGTTGTAAATTGTTGTTATACAACTTTGGATGTCTAGAGTAAAAACTCAACATGAATTCATAAACTACAAGTGGAGTATGTTATTGTATAAAATTGAAATAACAGTTACTGCCGTAAAAGTTGGTGATGACATCATATCATCGTTGGTGCGAATGATCAATCAAATCTTGGTTAGCATGTTATGATTTTACCATCTACAAGATATTCCTAATATACAAACAAAATTTTACAACAATCGGCCTAATTCGCGTAACCTTATATTAGATTTTGTATCAAATATGCCAATGTTACTCTGAACTTTTGACAAAACAGTGTCGAACCCCTTTTTTGAGAATGCCACGGTTAACAATTTGGGTTTCGCTAACCCCCCGGGAAGACCATATACAAAGCACTTCAGATACCTGGCAATCCTGGCATGCAATCCCGTTAGAATATGTGCAGGATTCAGGATGTCATGTTGTCAATACCAACACGTCTCCAAAGCATAACGATTCAACTGATACTACGATTAAGTATTAACTTTTTTGAAGTAAAAATTTATGCTCTACAACGCTGTTTTCAATGACATTTAGGTGACATTTTAGAATCTTCAGTTTCAAAACAATTCTTCAGAAGGACGAAATTTTAGACATGTCTACGTGACTTTTTAATGACGGAAAGCTAAATTTTGTTGGCAATTTAGCAGTAATTGAGAAATAGGCAATTACACTTTTTTATACCTTAATAATAATAAATATTTATTTCGACCAATTCTTTTGTTTAAAAATGGCATAGTATAAATTCTTAGGACGTAAATAAGACTATAGAATTACATCTGGTTGTATCGAATCGCATCATTTATAATGCAAGTTTTAAAGTACAGCTAACTTAAAATGAAATGAAGAAACTAAGAACAAATAAAATTATCTCGTTTCAAATCATGTTGCAGTTAGGGTGCACTAAATTGTGTAGAATCCTTGTATTTTTCACACTAAAGCTTTTAAAGTATTAAATTTCAAAAAACTAACAAAAATGAAATCTGCGAATTCAATACGAGAAACAAAAACACTTACGAATCCATTTTCGTAGTGAGTCTGATTATTAAACATCATTTATACTTATTTCTTCTTCTACTATTTAAAAAGAAAATATGTTCATAATGTCGCTGCAACTGTAAAATTTCGTATCGCTTTGCTCCGTAACAAAGATAAAATTTTATTAATTTACAAGTTTAATTATAATACATGGCAGAGAGGACGAAGTGAAGGTATAATTTATAGCCCCCACATGTTTGCATGTTCTGCTTGAATAAAACTGTGTGAATACAAATGATCGGCTTTTTGCAAAAGTTAATAAAAGCTTTTAAACAAAACGTAGTCCAGTAACACAAGAAGTTGTAATGATCCACAGTGGAAAGGATGATAAGAAACTTCGCTATATATTTTAAAACATTTGAATTGAATGAATTGTAGCCGCAAACTCACAAACAACTTTTAGTCGAAACGGAATATTAATTAAAAAAAATCAAACCAAGGTTGATCACTAGATTAAAAATAATAGATTACAGGAGCTGTGACCCAGTTTTTATAAAGCTGGAAATGAGCTTTATATTTCTCGTATGTTTTTACGGTTTATTTTCAATGTTTTAATGCGTTGAGGGAATCAGAAAATTTTACGATGTCCGATTTAATCAGGTGGGTTTTACACGAAAATGAACTCTCTGTTGCAAAACAAAAAATATGTCTATTGCACAGCTGGCCATTTATTACTCTCTGCTGCAAGTGTAATTGGTATGAGCAGGGCGCAGCAGTTCTGCGTATTCCCTGTTTCCATCTATCTGTCGTGTCATCTGGTGCCAATTTTATAGATACAGATAATCTCCGAAAATACTAAATTGATTATTATTAACGTCAAATTTTAGAAGTATCATTCAGAAGGTTTTACAAAGAACTCGTATAGTCTGCTTTAGAATCTATAGTAAAACTTTTTGAAATTGTGGCAAGGCTTTAACATTGGTTATAGAACAGTGCTTAAAATTATACATCTCATCTAGAAAATTTATTATCTTACCTCATTTTTTTTTAGATATTTGTTAACAAAAAAGTTTATAAAAGACGGGTAATCAGACAAAAAAGGAAAAAAAATCTAAAAAAAATTAAATATCGACATTTGTCCAAAATGATTTCTAACATAACTTTACTCCTAGTAGAATTGATAAATAATATTAATATATACATAATTACATAAGTGTAAAAATCATGTGTCATTTTGTTGTATTAAATAAGTATGTACAACTAAACTAACGTCTACAGGGTGTATGTTTTATTTGATACAACCCCTGTGACTTTTTTATTCTTAAAGATAAACCTTTAGTTATTGAAGCAAATTTGTATCATTTTAAAAGATCTATGTGATGGAAACCTCATATTTTTATTGTCACTTTTTTTATGGAACTCTAGGTACTTTTTCATAAATGGAAATATTGCTTTTTTCTAAAAATCAAAAGCAACCAATATTCTAAAATCAATACTTAAAAAGTTATTCAATAAAATAGACGAAAAATTCATATTTCTGATGACAATCTAATAGCTTGAAAAATTGACACTCATGTCATTTATTCACATAAGTGATCTTTTAAAATAATAAAAATTTTCTCAAATAACTATGTATATGTTTGTCTTTAAAAATAAAAAAGTAATAGGAGTTGTATCAAATAAAAGAAACACTGGTATACGTTTATATTTAAGAAAATCGATTTAAACAAAACGATGTGTGAAACCAGACAGTGGAATTACTAACACAATTAATTTGCACTTTATAAAAATTAAAAACGCTTCAGACCTCATCCATTTTAATCACAAGTATTAAATAAGTCAATTAACAACCCTTTTCATCAGCTTGTTTTATCCATAGTTATTAAACTTCCAATATTATCAGTAAGCCACATAACAGAACTTCCTATTATAATTGCTGTAATTTCCGGCTGGTATAATGAAACATACTCTTGATGTAGAACCCCTTTCTAATATTCAACAGAGCATATTAGTTATTTATCTACACTTACTCTAATTTGCCGTACAGAACTTATTTATTTCTATGACACCATTCTTTTATAAACTTTTTTTTGTTTTCAGGGTTTATGTGTGGCTGTTCTTTTCTGCTTCTGCAACGGAGAGGTAATAATGTTAAATTTCAACATATGTTTTAAGCATCTAATAGAGAATATTAGTTTCGGACACATTGTTTCCAACAAAACAAATACCATCTACTTCCAACAAGTTCATCAAAATTGAACAAATACATATTATTACAGTTATAAAGATAAAGATGAAACAATTTCATGAAACAAATATAATCCTAGCAATTTGCAGATAACCCTTTCTCTGTTTGAAACCCTTGTTGTAAATCCTGCACACTACAATAATGGATGATCATAAAGGAAGGGTTGGGTTCAAATTGATGTTAGGACAATGTAAACAACTTAAAAAGGAAGTATGAACTTCGCACAATCATTATTCAATAAGATGTTGACAAGACCCTCTCTCGAGAACGGTCTGTTGAAGTTGGATTTATTTTTTGGAATAATCATTAACTGACAAATAAATTGTTAAGATTTTCTTTTGAAATAAATCTTACAATTTCTTTTTTTTTCTTAAGTTTAATAGTCCTTACTTTAGTTTAACTTTCTGCTCAGGTTATAGCTCAAGTGAAAAGAAAATGGAGGATGGTAATGTTTCGCCCACGGGCTAATTCTTGCACAGTCACCACCGTGTCGGTACGTAAGGTATAACTAACACATTTTATTTACATTATATCTGTGTTTAAACATGCTGTGCATACTTTGCATTAATAAAACCTAACCTACGGATAATGTTTTCGACCTGGACACCGTGCAAACTGCTCTACCACGGAATGTTCCTCAACTAATGGTAAATCGTTAAACGAACATCTCTCATATTTTTGATTTTTCAAATTCCACCTGCTTGTAGCGATAAACTGCTTAAATAGTGATTGTTACAAACAGGGTTGCTAAAAAGTATGGAAGCAGTTTAATATCTCGGAAACGGTTAGTTGGATGTTCTTGAAATTTGGACTATACTTAAATACACTCACGCTCTATTTTCTGTAACTTTTAAACTTTAAACTTATTTGTTTTCAAGATGCAAGGCTAACTTTATTTTGTTTAACTAATGCATACACGTTTTTAACTAAAACGGCAAATAAAATGAACTATTTATTATGAATAAATTCTATGAATTTGAGCGCAGAATCGAATTTTGCAAAATTATGACAGGATGGCAACTTCATAAACCAATTGTTATTGTCTAATGAGTCTACTTTTTGTTTGAATTCCTCGACTTTCCCAACTGTGAAAACCCAAATTTACCTGCAGAGTCCATGTGGTTCCAACAAAATTTGTTGTAAAATTATTGTTTTTTACATGTTAATTAGATGTGTAGTATTGTTATTTCTAGAATATTTTGTAAATTATTTGGAAACATCATTTAAATCAATCTGTTACACTGGCACTTTTATTCAGCTTATGTACGCTCATTTCAATTATTTTTACAATGATTGGGCACTAGTACAATTTTTTTAATAAAGTGTCGTAGGCCAGGACTGTGACAGGTGATTTTCAGTATTTTAATTTTGACAACTTATTTTACCATGTTGGGGAAAAAACAAAATAATGCATGCGTTACGATTCTGAATTCAGACAACAAATGCACTATTTAAAAACGGAACATTTGACTACTAGTGCTTTTTAAAAAAATCAAGTTAGCCCTGCATCTCAAAAAGCAAATGAAGTATAACGTATGCCGTACGAGCATCTTTACGGTCGTAAACTCGCGGTTGGGTCCCGGCTAGCACGAACCCGACAGCGTCACGTCATCTCGACCGCCCCTAGCTCGACTAGGAACCGCGCCCTCCACTTCTGCCACGTATTTCGGTATTATTTAACCTCAGTTCCAATTAAAATTTCAATTTCTATGATTCTGATGTTAAACTGCAACTGAACGAGTGTCAAAATTTCAAAAAGAGCAATAAAGAACATTCGAATACGCCATACGCTCTCGTGAAATATTTAAGCAGCAAAGAATTCTTATGTGAGATTAAGATTGGACATCGAATAATTTATATGATGGAAACAGTCATCAACAAAATATTTACATGAAAGAAAAACTGGCAAAGATTTATGAAACAAAAGATCTGGTGTGAAGTAAAACTTGTGTAAACAAAAAATTACCTTACGTTCAATTTAAATTATACAATAAAGAAAATTACTGAAGTTAAAATTGTGAGATAGAAAAATTGTGTGAGGTGAAAATTTGCAAAGCTAACAAAATTACATGAGGTTAATTCGCCACACCTTATCAACGATTCAAACAAAGAATTTATATTATGTTAAATGATGCCATGATCCAAGTGATTGGTTACTTAAAACAATTAGCTTTGAGAGTGTATATCGTGACCTGTTTATCCCAAACAAAACACATGATGAATAAACAACACAAAATGTATCACGTTGCGAGATAAATGTCTCGGTAATGTGATGATGATACGATGATAATAACGATAATAACTGCCTAAGGAATGTATTTAATCCAACCGTACCTCAGTTCACGATATCATGAATTCTGCCGTAGTTTTATACGGTCTTTTTACACCGTGGGGCAACGTTAGGTTAATTTAACTGCCGTAAATGAACTATTAGCAATGTTATTCATAATTAGCCAAACAAAATCAGGCGGGTCCTGACTAAGTCAATTTCATGAAAACTCCTGCAAGTGCTTATCTAAACAAATTCCTGATTGTTAAATTGCGTTAGAACTAGTTAACGATTAAACTCCTGACATGAATTTACAAACAGTAAAACAAATTTGCACACGTGCTAGCGTCGGTCGAAAATTCACATTTTTCCGCATCGAAAGCAGCAAGAATTAATTACGATTAATTGTTGTTAAACAAATGCTTCCTCCCTTTTATTAACTACCATACCAAGTAAATACAATGAAGCCTACCTCCCTACCAAGCCGCCAACCCTCTAACTAAAATTCCAAGCAGAACTACCCACTACCGAAAAAGCGTTAACATGCACATGGTTGCCTATGTTTAACGAATTTTTTTATTGATTTTTTTTCAAATTCATATTCAAATGTGATTTCGGCCCGCTGTTAATTTTTTCAGCGCGAATTTTTAATTCAAATTCGACCAGTGAACTCGTAGAAGATGTACAGTAATTCTAAAAATATTTGGAAATAAAATAAAATTGCATTACTGTTTTTAAAATTGAATGAGGCAATTCGACATTTATATATTCTGTTACTATTATTCAGACTCCGAAAACGTATTTGGACCCTAAATACGAAGCTTAAAGAAAATCCTGCGGAGTCGCGCAATTTTTTTGGTGTTCGTTTGGGAAGGAGGACCAAAGGATGTTATAAAAAACACATGAACTTCAAACTTGATTTTTATCCTAAGTTATATACCACTGATAGGTAATTTAATTTTAATTTTTAATTTAGAACTTATCATTTTAATTATATTTAAAATTCTGTAACCTATTCTTTGATATATATAATTATATAGTTTGATAAAATTTGTTAATGCAAAGTAAAAACGTAATTTTCAGTGTAATTACTAATTACCTACTTAGCAGAAATTTGTATTCAGCGACTGTGTTTGTTTGCAGTTAATTATTATTTATTGTGATATGTTTTAGTTTGTCCGTTCTTCCTATCCCGCAAACGGCGAAGAAAAGGTATGACTGGGTGCAATCGGCCGCCGTGCTTCCCACTGGATGGCCGCAAGAAGAGCTTCAACCGTAATCGTTCGTAACATTGGAGAAGCAACTGCTCAGTGTGTCTGAAATATGGAGAGTCCAAGTGTGTTATGTTATCTTCCTTTAGTATAAATTAGCAACATGTGACGTTTTTAACCAAATATCTTGATTTTGTACTATTTAATATACGGTACCTAAATGTAAAATAAAAGTGGTTGTAGCAAAAATAAATGTTTGCAAAATTAATCAGCTAATTCATTTCGCTCGGTAAATAAGTAAGTATTTAAAACGTAAAAAGTTTTGTTATCCCTGTAAGTAATACGTCGACTTTGAACGTCTTAACATTATGAAGTTAAATTAGTTTACTCGCTTGGTGACTTATTTGAATTCAATTCGTTTGAGTATTTTATCAGAGCAATCCTAAGAAATTGGACCGTTTATCTTATTAGAAAATTAATTAGTGTTATATCCGGTAATCTCGGCAAAATAAATAGCAGGGTGAAGCGATCCACCTGTTTGTTTCTACACGTGTTTCATGTTAGTCTTTACAGATCAAAATTACGCAACACTTTGAGAGTTTTAACGTCGGCTTTACTCGTCCAGACATTATTAAAAGTTTCACGGTATCACAAAGTTTTGAACTGTTCCATGAATACAGATGGCAATTAAAAACCATGGTGAGTATTGATTTTAATTTTTTCTATTTTCATCAGTGGCCAGATGCGAGTTTCGTTTTTCGCAAATGTATGACTCTTGTTCTTGGTAATGAATGAACAGTCTGCGTACCAATAAAATGGACATTGTTCCCTCAACAAGGGCTTTATGCATTGTTACATTCACTTCAATCAAACATCCTACAACAATAATTTAATGATTTTGTAAACGGTGAACTCATTATCCAATTAAGATCTCGGACAAAAAGCTGGGAAATTAATGCTAATGAAATGACTAATTAATGACTACTTAACGACTACTTAATGACCCCCTTAATTGCCCGCTGTATTAATACTAAGTACAACACTTTCCCTTTACCGAAATGTGCATCTCAGTCCAAAATTTCTTATCGAAAAGTATCGCCTCCTGTATTCCGATTTTGACAAGTGCATTTTTGCACAGAAAATTCTTTTATTAAATAATATAAAGTGCGCAGGGTTGTGCAGATTCTTCCAAACGCTTCTGAGCTGGCTCTCGTGATATAATCTTTTGATATTTTCAATCAAAATGGATGCGTGATTTCGAGCACCCATTACGGGTGTAGTCACTGAACCTACAGGTTGTAGTAAATTTTATTTTGTCACACAGTCTTAAAAAAATATAAACGTTATGTGTGATACAAATTTGAGTGAAACTGTGTGGTTTTACGGCGAATGGCAACCGTTGTATGAAAACATTGTTAGTGAATTGAAAAATTTTAAAGTTTGCAGCTCTATGCAAAATTTTGCGAAGTTACATCTCTATTTTGATCTATTCGTGAAAACTTGCCCTGACTTACATGTTCGAGAAATTTACGAACAATATCACAAGTTCCTAACAAAACAGTTTTTTTTTTTAATATTTGTTGACTAATTTAAATGTAAAAGTTTCAACTTCCCAAAGAAGTTATTAATGTTATTAACATATTCTATGCAATATTTTACAGGTTTAATAATAACTAGACATATGTACTGTGTAAATACGCAATTTCCTAGAAAACATAAATACCAAAATGTTAAAGCGGTTGAGTTATCAATTATCTAGTTTAAAAATTCACTTACCTAATACATATGCATTAGCAGAGAAATAAACATTTATAAAATCAGTCTTCTTTAGTGTAATTTACTTTATTCATTATTATCATTAAAAGCACTGGTTAAGATGTTTTAAATTTAGAAAAGTCTAACCGCTGAGGCAATTTCCTGGAGTCAAATACTAATTTCCGGTGCTTCTGTATAATCATCATATCTTGAGGAACGAAATATGCAAAACAGAATGTAATAACGAATTACCTGAACTCTTTATTGTTTTTTGTATCATATATAAAGACTGCATTTCAGCGAGTTTTATATTTTATTTTCTTGGAGGTTTGATCAAAAGCCGCATTTGAAAACAAATACTTTCAACAATTTATTTATTATAAAAGACTGTGATGTATAAAAATCCATCATTTAAGATTCTAAATCCGAAAAACAAAACAAATGCAGCACGTATTCGAAATTTAATTTTCGAATATGAATTAAAAAGACTGTTATAAATTACTCTGTACAAACTTAATATCCAAGTCAGCATGGCAGAAAATAACATAATGAAGCGTTCTCCTTTCGTTCATAAACGAGTTCGTAACATTAGGGAAACTCCTATATTAATCCCATCTTCATGAAATATGTATTAATGTAAATCATTCACCAGCCTCATTCTGACAAATAAGATATTTTTCTTTGCAAATAAAATCAATTCTTAAACCAGATCGTTTTTGATGCACCTATGTTTGAAACGTCTCCGGAAATGTTGCATGATAAATTCGATAAAAAGCAAACACTTCAAAATCGATTGCTTGGATAAATAGGTAGATGTATTCTGATGGATATTATCTTACGAAACGCAAAACCCAAACCTGAAAGTTTCGAACATGAGATTATACGGTGACACAGAGAGGTTAATCTTATTAGAATATGTCTGGAAATTAAGGCCCTAATTTGTTATTAGTGTTATGACTTGCGCTTCGCGTGGTGATGAATTATTAAATTGTCACACCGTTCCAACTATTTTTTATTGGCTTACGTAAATTTTAGACTGTTAAGTTACTTATCGTTGCACAACATTAGTTGATCATAAATTGTGTGGAGAATATAAATCATGCGTCACGTGAACAATTTAATTTATTTTTTAATTAACTGAAACAGGATTGCGAGATACAATTAGTATAATGATAAATTTATTTTTGCGCTCTTTTTGTTACCGCCAAGGGATCAAGAATGGTTATCGTCACTAATAAACAGAAAGTTTAACTGCGAAGTTTAGCACCCTAACGTCTAAAACTTAGGTTGAAAAATAGAAACTTAAAATACATATTTTGGTAAAATACTCTGACTAAAAAATAAATTTTTACTCTCTATACATGTCATAGACAAAGTTAGGCCAGTTCATGATAAAATAATTTATATATTCCGTTTACTAAATATCTGTATCTTTTTCAACTTTTATTGCTAAACTTTTTGTTGAACATTTGGATTCCCATAGATTAACAATCTATGATTTGTTCATCAAGTAAATTAGTTCTATCTACATTATCACAAAACCTCCTAAAACTTTTTGGGCTCGCTGTCTGGACTGATGGCAATTAGGTGCTGACTCTGCTTGGGCTGAGAAGGGCGTGGATCAAATTAAAAGGGCACCAGGTTTTTTATACGTTTTCCCTAACTATCCCGAAACCAAGGTGAAGGCCTATAATTGCAAATGGCGTTAGGTTATTGCAAAATGCAACTAGGTACTTTTAACGGAAAACTTTATTTTCTGTGATAAAACAAGATGAAAACTTAAAATCATATTATTGGTTCATCGCCATGGAGGAGAAGACGTGACGACAGCAGCATTGTCGACGCGACGCTACAGGCCCCATTACAAAAAAATCCCAGTTCAATTAAAAGTTGAAGTGACGTCATGGATTTTTTTGGGAAAGGGTAAATGTTAAACATGAATTAAAAATTTACGATTATTACGATAACTTTAAAGTGTTTGCAAGATTTCGGTTTTGTTGCTTAAAAGTTACATTGAAAGATGTATTTATAGTACTTTAATTTTTTTTCCAAAAATCTTAATGTCTAGAGTAAAAACTGAGATTTATAAAAAACAAGTGTAGGAATATGGTATTATATAATTTTAATTAATATTAACTATTGTAAATTTTAGAGATTATGTCATCACATTCTTGATGGACATGATTAAACAAATTTTGGTGAGTAACATCTGCACGAAATTCTAAAAATTGGCTCAGACGGCGCATAGACAGGCAGAGGGAACCGGGAGACCTATTATTTCGTACTCTAAGGGTCATAAAACGTCCAGAAAACATAAAAGTAACCCGTCGTCCCATGGACTCGCTTACAATACTTCCTCAGCTTACGCTCATAAAGTTAAAAATGAATTAATTTGAAACAATTTCAACTACAACAGCGAAATTTACTGTGGACAGATTGTCGTTTATTATTGCTTACACACAGTTCTTATTATGGTTATTCCACAAACAAATCCTATACATATTTCTTTAATTTATTAGGTGTTACTTGTGTGAAAATTGTTTAGTGCATTTAACATGTAAATCGTAAGCTACTGCTTTTAATTAAATTTTTCCATCTTTTTGCATTTTTTAATTAAAAGCTACCGCTTTCGACTAAAACAATGAAGTATTTGTACAAAATATCTTAATTGGTCATTATCATCTTTATTCAAATTCAAAGCGTTTTTTTGCGCTTTCACAAAAAAAAGTTATTGTTTTTTAAGCATCGTTTTGTAAACACTGTTAGACAAAATTCACACCGACTTAAAGACAAAATTTTCTAGTAAATTAGAATTGAAACAGAAACAAACGTGAGTACAAAAATATTGCTGCAATAACTTAATACAATCATACTTTTAAAAATAAATAAAAGTGGTTTTGATCTGACTGAAAAAAAATGGTTTGGATTACATACGTTAAACACATGGTACACGTGGTATTGCAAACAACATTCAGTGGATTCGAAACACCCTGAATAACGTCTGAAATTATCTAACTAAAAGTTTCTGAATGATAGTAAAGATATTTCTTTTGGCTCAACAGTTTTTCAAATTAAAAATAAGGTAACAGCCTAATATCACAGGATTTGCTAATTTGCTAATCTTAATTAGATACATCAAGTTTTCACAGTTCTTATATTAAAATTTTTATACGATTGGTGTCAATTTAACAAAGTTTCAAATGTTTTTTTTAAATATTGTTCATATAAAACAAGCTCTAAAGTAGGTACCTTTATCAAATGTAAACCTTACTATACAATTTACCAAACAATCAATTTACTACTTTCAAGTATATCAATACATCGTAAAGGAGAGCGTTTGCCATTTTACGGTTAAATCAATATAACATTACTTTAAATGAAACGGAGGGAGGAAGCCTTTACCAATTGAATGAGTACAAGTCGGTAACCAAACTAGACGCAGAATTAACAATCTGAAAAGAGTAGGGTTTGTCTCCTGTTTAGTTTTTATAAAAGTTAAAATGTTTCTAGAAA